CTGCATATCCGGTCAACACTGATGCGTCATGCTCGCGGCGAAACAACAATCTCGATGACTTGGTTCCCTTTAAGTATCTAACAATCTTTTCCAGAGCTTGCCAGTAGCATAAGGTACATCATACTGCCAAGCAGCTCGCGGTAGGGTTGATCAGTACCACAGCTCAATTCGGAAAATGCAAGGCCCTTCTCCATCAGAATTTTCACAGGGTTGCACTTTTCCATTCCAAATTTCGTCCAAATAAATCCTTTTTCTCGATCATAGCCAATTTGAATGCCAAGGAAATGCCTAACTTCTCCGCAATCTGACATCTTGAATTTCAGCGACAATGTTTGCTTCAGTTGATCCATCATAGCAATGTTGTCTCCCATAAGGAGTAGATCATCCATGTACACAATCACGTAGAGTATTTCGTCTCGGCTCACCCTGGTGTACAAACAGTAGTCGTGCTTGGAACGGACGAAGTTCAACTTCTTGTTCCAGCATCGAGGACTTTGCTTAAGGTCATAATGCACACAACCATCTACGTCCTGAACTGCTTGGACAACAGAATACACGAAATAACACTTTTTGTTTGATTCAAAGTGTTTTTATGTTACTTCATACGCGAAGTTAACGATTTTCAGAGTTGGTTGGAAATGCTAACATGAAGCTTTAGTGTGATGATTTATTAGCTAGAGAATGATCTTTAGAAGAGGGTAGGTGGATGGTTCCGTTAGAGTACGGCAGTATGAAAATTGAATAGAAGTTGAAAATTAGCGAAGGGCCATTAAAGCGACAGTTTTTCAAGATAGACGCACATTTTTGCCTAACCCGTACGATGTACGTTTTGTTTACCAGCTGAATCTTTATCATTGACGAAAAAATGAATGAGATTTTGACGAAGGTTTTTTGAAGATCAAGTCTGTCAGTGACTATATGAAGAACAATTTTGTCAATATCGTGCTAAAGTCTGTCAATGGCAATGACAAATCTCAGCACTGCTCTACACATCCTCTCTTAGTTCACCATATAGGAAAGCAGTTTTGACATCAAGTTGATGGACGTGTAACTTCTTCTGAACCGACACTGCAAGTGCTGTCCTGCTGTGGTGCTCAGCTTTGCTACTGGACCATACGTTTCAGCATAGTACACGCCAGCCTTCAGTAGGAATCCTTTAGCGACCAAGCGAGCTTTGTAGTGAATAGTGTTGCCTAATTCGTCTACTGTCGTCAAACGTTATTGTAGTGCAAGAAATCCAGTTCATCATTCACAGCTTTCAAACATAATGTCTTGTCAGCTCGACCGGAGATCTCATCGAACGTAGTTGGAACATCTATTAGGGAGATTGGGCAGCAGAAACCGTTTCTGTTCCAGCTAACATCGTATCGGGCGCTCCCGTTCGCAAGATCTCGTAGAAGTTTAAACGGAACTTGATCTACATTCAAAGCACGAAGGGAGCGCAGTTTTTGAAGCTTCACTAAGTGTCATCTTCTTGTGGTCTGCAGGGCATGTATACGTAGAAAATAATCCTTTAACTAAAAATCCCTTAACTTACCAGGGAGCTTGCGCTTCCGTTCGCGGTGGCTCGTGGTCGCCGTGTCATGGTTATGACCAGGATCTAGATGCGAATGGAGCGCGGCCGGTGTGTTGGAAGCAGTATCTGGGTCGACATCCTCTAGACCATCTGATTCGACATCTTCATTTGATTCTTCCCCCTCTTGCTCGAATCTTCTAGTGTCTGATAGATTTGCTGCAACACCAGCATCCGCTGCTTCTGTGTTATCGTAAGAAGCCACAAAAAAGGTGGGCTCGGGGTCTGCGTTCATCTTGGACATAAACGGAAAATTGTCTTCGTCAAATTTTACGTCTCGTGCTACAAACAAGCTCTGGGTCTTCATACCAACAATCAATACGAAACTAACGATTTTTAATTGGCTCACCACTTTAGTAGCCTATTGGTCCCAAGCAAACGATTAACGTACCCTATTCTAGTTGAAATTCTATTACTACACTATGTTTGTTTTGATTCGCTATGAAAGTTTGACAGATAACATCAGGGGTGTGTGGATTCATGCAGAACATGCAGGGGTGAGTGAAATAGCTTGGGACTGCTTGGGACCGTTGTTCTGGTACTGAGTGAGCCAAAAATAATAATGATTTTCTTCGGGACTCAGTGGTCTTAGAGTTACCTCTATGTTCATACTCCACAGCCTGTACCCTTAAGGTGCGTAGCTGATCATTACTGACAACTGACTGTTCGAATCTAGCTTTTTCCGCAGCTGAGTGGGAACCCATGCGTATGCCTTGCAGCCAAACACTCTGAGCTTCGTCATATCAGGCTTCTGATTCGTCCACATCTCGATAGAAGTTTTGCTTTCCGAAACAGCATTGGTCGGACTTCGGTTCATGAGATAGACCCCAGCTAGTGCAGCTTCATTCCACATACGTTTCGGTGCCTTGGATTCGATCAGCATCATACGAACTTTCGCGGTTAACGTCCGATAGGATCTCTCGGCGACTCCATGCTGCTGCATAGAATCGTGCCTGGTCCTTTGAGCATTATTCTCTGTCCTGATCCACGGTAACTTCGAGATTCGGTGGCCCGTTGCAGCTGAAACCATCGTTTCGAATCTTCTCGAATACCTCTGACTTCTTTTGTATTGTGAAAATTACTGCGATGTGTGTGAAATCATCAATGAAAGAAACGATGTACCGAGAACCATCCCAAGCTTTTGGCGTAATCGGTCCACAAACATCGGAGTGCACGCGTTCTAATAGTCTTTCAGATCTTACTCGTGTGCCGTTGAATGGTTCTCGGCACTGCCACCCGAGAACACAATTATCACAAAAATCAAGTTAACCTTGTCATACATGATACCATTGCCGTTAGTTTACACCGATTTTGTACCCCGAAGTGACCTAGCCTGCGGTGCCACAATGCTCCAGGAAAACGTCTAGCTTGTAGAAATCCTACAATCTCACCATTGAGGTTCATCTCAGCTGATTTATCTCCAAACGACAGCTTGACACCTTTTTCGTCGATAGAAGAATCGCTCGCATTTCGGTGCATAGAAAACGTTGTCTATGATGGTACACTGAATACCGAGACTGTTGATTTTGACGATTTTTCCTTTGTGCCAAGTTGTTATTGACTAGTCGTCTTTTGCAACACATATAATGACGGGATTCTTCATCCTGTCAAGAGATTCGTAATATCCCTTCTGCTTCATTAGGTGATCACTAGCTCACCACGCATGAACGCAACAGCCTTTCCACCACTTGCTGCATTCGCTTCCGCATGAATCTTACTTCTGCAGTCCTTAGCCATATGTACTTTATTGTGACAGCGCTTGCATTTACCTGTGAACTTCCGTGGTTTCTGTTTGGTTCCAACAAACAGGGATGGCTTCTCTTTGTGCTCATCGGTCATTTGGTCAAATTCCTTCATTTCTTCTGCCAACAATCTCTCTCGAACAGCATCAAGGGTCAACTTGTCTTCATCACGGTTCTCCAACGCTGTGACGTAGCATTCCGGGAGGGCTACGAACAGCTGCGAAATCAGATTACTTTCTTCTAGTTTTGCTCCTGCTAACTTCAGTATCCGAATAATCTCGTCGATCACCTTTTCGTGGTACGTTACGGGATGTAAGATCTACCACCGATTCCTAGTCTAGACTACTTCAAACTAGGGGAACAGGATTTTTCAGTAATCAAAGGAACACATCTTAGTCCTTGTTACTTTATATGCCTTGTTGATAGTGATAAGTCCTCGTGTTGCCTGGACCGAGGATGATCTTGAAACAAGGACAAAATGAGTTAGACTTCATCTATGTGATTCCTAATCTTCTAATCGTTGTTCCCTAGTTTGAAGTGGTTAAGACTAGGGTTCTGATGCATGGTCACTATCGGTGTCATTCTTTAATTTAGTTGCTAAGGAACCCAATTTTGACTAACAAAGGGGCGCGCCTTTCGAGGGTGTTTCAACACTCCGAAGGGTATAAATAGCGGGACCTTTCAATTAGAATCGATTCCTTGCCATGAAGGCAAGAATGACAACTGTATCAAAACCGAATACTTCATAATTTCTCAATAGTGATGAAGTAATACGACATGCACTAAACTAAGGACACGGAATATACTACAATAGATCAAATTACTGGTCGCAGTAGTTTTATGTCCCGAACAGAGGAAAAAAAAGTCTCGTCGAAAGTCGTCAAATGGTCCTTGATTGATGTATCTTCGGTTTTTCTCAGCTTTGCGAGTTGCTTTCGAATAAGCGTTTGCGATGAAACCGACTTCTTGGCGTAGATTCCTTCCATAGTGCATATTTCCAAATTTCTTTGGCCGTTTCTTTTTAACGAATCACATCCAGTAAATCATCGTCGATGAAGGAGATGATCACATTCGTTGTCTTTCCATCTAACTCTTGAAACTTCGCTGCTTCAGCCGCTACTGTTGGTGCGTCTTTCTTTACCGTATCCAGCTATCCCGCCTACTTCAGGAGTCCAATTCTCGAATCCGGTACCGGAGAACTGCGGGATCTCGTTGATCAATTCTCTGTGTATATCGCCCATAACCTCATTAATTTATAACAGTGGTTTGAATTAAGGAAGAACTATATTTTGAGTCGGTACAGGACGAGAGTTTGATAACGAATGAATAAAGTTTGCACTTGTTGATATCTTCAAACAAACATGTTCCTAGGGTAGAGCTCCTGATTACTTCGATCTTCAACAGAAACAACCGGATATTATAGAGATATGGGATCGTTTGGATTTTGTTCCTGAAAATTCGGCAAATTCAAAAGAAGTCCAAGCTACGCCAAGTATCACGTAAAACGATGTGTTTCAGAACGTGTTTTCACATCCGAAACAAATACAGAAATCTTCGAAACCTCTCGGGATTTTTTTTTTTAAGAAAAACTGTCTATGGTGCGTTTGCTGAAAATCCCCTAATGAGCTTCTGTTCAATTTCCAAAAGTATCTAATTCAATCTACGATCTACGTTTTCACTTGCAGATCCCCCTTACCGAGGAGTTCTTCGAAGGTGAAAGTATGCAAATAGATCCATCTTTTATAGCCGAAAACACCGTCAACGCCTCCTGGAACTCGTCGATGAATTCCACTCTCTCCGGTCAATCGTTTTCGCTGACACCTCAACAAATGAAGCTACGAAAAAACACGCTTCGCTACACCGGTGACCCAGCCCTGCTCCCAATAGCTAGTACCGAATTCACCTTTTTGGTTCGCTTCCTCCACCAACTGTCGAGTAAAGTGAACCTAATGTTCGGAGGAGAGATGAATGACCTGTGGAATAGAAACGACCTGTGGGGTAAACTGAGCCGTCAAGTACTGAGCCCTCCGATGGTTGCCCAAACCTTCGATAAATCGCAAGGGGTTTGTATGCTAAAACAGGACCATCTTGGCCCCCGGTTATGTCTGAGGGTGCTCGCCTCATACAAATCGTCGTTTGTGATATTCTGCTCGTTTCTGCTCGGATATTTGTTGTTCAACGCACCGAGCTACGGATTCATGCTGCTGCTTTCTGCCGCATTCGTTTACTTGCTTATCAAATCGTTGGTCTGCGATCTGTTTGAAGTGCGAACCGAACCCAGGGTCATCAATAGAACAGGTTAGTTGAATTTGCTTTATATTTTAAAAAAAGTGTATTATTTGAATATTTTTTTTAATGTAATAAAAAAATATTCGAGCCAAATTGCGCTACTACCAGAAACAAACAATCTCACATTACATAGAAGTTTGGTCGAACTAAATGCTACGCGGAAGGTATGACTAAACTAGATTCTTGTGATGACATCCTTGATTTTCACTTTACGTATACGATTAAATCTACCAGAGTTTTACTCCTTACTTCGTGAGCGCAGCCACAGACAAAACAGTGCTCCAACGCGGAAAACTACAATCAATACACATAAACAGGTAATATCGAATCCGAAGTCTTCCACCTTAAAATTGAACGTCTCGAGGATGATCTGACCGGAACTCGGGCAGGTCACGTTCGTTCGGGTACAGGCTATATCCCCCTCCTCGACCGTGCTCCATTGGTTGATCAGCAGTGCCTCGTTTGCATAGCGGAACCATGATAAGTAGGATAAGTACTCGAAGTAAGATGGAACCGATGCCGAATTCAGGAAAAAGCCTCCGAAAATCAGGAACGGAATAATGACCGGTGGACCGACGGATAGAGCCATTGAGATTGATGAACTGGCGCAGGAGATTAGATAGCCTAAAACAGTTCAATTTTATAATATTTCCTTATCAACGTCTGTTTCAAGGGAAGTCACTTACCGAAAGATGTCGCCACGTTTGCGACCAAAACCACAATCATAAGAGCCGTCAGGTAGTGCACCGCGCCGCTTTTAAGACCAATCATCGGGTAGGTTATCGAAGTAAACACAAACGGAACGGCAAGAAATAGTGGCACCTCGGCAATTGTTTTACCCAGAAAATATGTATCGACACGGAACAGCCGTGACCGTTTCTCCCGTAGAAACACTGGTAGTTCAGCGGAAAATACGTTAATCACTGCAAACACATTCTGGAATGTCATATTCGTAAGAAACAGAAACAGCGCTCCGTTAATGTTCATAACTCCATCCTGGTCTAGCCTTTGGCCAAAGTAAATCGATCCTATCAGCGAAGCCACCATCTGTAAACACACAATACACATTAGTTCATCTTGAATCCAACGTCCAATCGTAGTCACGCAAATTCCTACCGCCGTTTGTAGCAGTCGAACTTTAACCAGCATCGGATCCTTGAGCACCGTTAACCATGAACGCCACAAAACATAGTAGAACTGGGTCCACCAAGTCGATCGGTATCCCGTTCGGCTTACTCCTTCCATGGGCTGCAGGAAATAGTGTTCTTCGACGTTCTTTCCGGTGTTGGCCACTTCCATTACCTCCCGAGCAATCGGACTAACGGCAAAAGAGTCGCAAATTTTCTTGATTGTGTCCCGGCACTCGGTCTCCTTGTTTGGTGCTATGGCCAACATTTGGACGTAGAAATCGGCTGGATTGTAGTTCGGCGGGCAGGGTATTCCCAGTCTGGAAAGTCAAATGGGATTAATTTGTATTTAAAATCACGTTTTAGTCATTTTCTTCGGCAAAATTTTTCATCTTTAGGCACAGCTAAGTGAAGCTAGGTTGATTGAATCCACAAATGCTCGTTGTTATGGGAAATTTGCCTTGCCACTTCGAATAGTTAGTGGCACGGATTTCAGAAACTACAATTTCGCTAATACGATAACAGCTGATTAGCTGAGCTGACATTTCCGTTATCGCTTTCACTAATTTCTAAAACCATTATTGCTTTTTTATCTTTCTCTAAATTGATGTTTCGCTAAATAGTCCGCTGGTATACTAAGGACACTAATCGGTAAGTCAGTAAGGATGGGCCAACTTCATAACTCCCGACCCGACTCCTCACTGCTCTTTCTATTTGTATTGAGGCCCCCTAAATTATGTCAAGTTACTAAGGAAAGTCTATAGGAAAAGGATAGAAAACATTATTTTGCTTGTCCAGCTCAATAAGGCCCATTCCTAAGATTTTAATTGGACGAACTACTGTGGAAAACAAGTTTGTTGAAAATGGGTCTTCTGTGCAATAGTTATGAACTATTTGATATTCGAAGGTTCTATTAAAGCTAAGTATGAACTAAAAGAATTGTAGTTGAACATTAACGACATTTTTAACATCCACTATTGAATTGCTCAATGTCTCGGTATTATTTCACGATATCCACTTAAAAAATTCTGCAAATTTGTAGGTCGAGTCAAGGGCTATTCTTGATGACCATGAATGGCTACAAATCCTAGGTAGTGACTTCGAATGTTCATTAAACTCGGGGTATGAGTCAAGAGCTATCCAGAGTTGCCATGAATAATTTGCAATTCGGCCGGTAGATGGCATCACTGCTCGAGTAGAATCAAATTGAACTCAATTAGGTTCTGCAACGTGACGTCACAAATGAACTCAGTGTTAATAGGCTGAACCTTTTTGACAGTTCAGTGGTACTGTTTACAAGCACTTAGTCGTTTTTTCGAAAAAAATTTTCTTAATTTTTTGAATTTTAACTTGAAAATTGTCGAGGAACAGCGCGTTGCAAGGATGTTGCTCGTGAACATTACAGAAATGCTGTTAACATCTCACTGCAGTCTGAAAAATTATCGAGAAAATTTACCCAAGAAACAATCGACTAACTCCACGTAAACAGTACCACTGAACTGTCATCAGATTGAGGTTAACCCCGACGGTGCAAAACCAAATATCATGCTATCGTTTCAAGCTAGTTTGAAGAAGATGATCGGAAAGTGAAGAGCTACATCGTCGGATTCTTGACAGATGAAGTTCTGGAAGTAGTCCGGGACAAAAGCAGCGCGAAGGAGATGTGGTCAAGCTTGAGCGAAGTTTTCACCAAGAAGTCTGTGGCCAGTCGAACGCTTCTGCGAAAGCAGCATGGACGCTTACGGATGAAGGAGGGAGCTTCGATGCGGTTTCACCTTTTGGCGTTCGATGATCTCGTGAGGCAACTCAACACGGTTGGTGCGAAACTGGAGGATGGAGATCTCGTGTCTCAGCTATTCCTTAGCTTGTCGGACTCGTGCGATCCTCTCGTCACAGCGCTAGAAAACATCAAGGAAGAAGACTTGAACGTGGATTTGGTCAAGCAACGGCTCCTGGCGGAAGAGCAAAAACGTGCTGATCGGATGGGCGAAACTGTTACGGCCCACCCACATTAGATCCGGATTTGAAGCGTTGCGGCAAAGTAGCAGCTAAATCTATTGTCTAACTGTCAAATTTACCTCAACGCAACGGAAACGGATCTAATGTGGGTGGCCCTTTAAGGACAGACCAGCGGCTTTCGCAGGACATCAGCAGAATCGACGCGGTGGCAAATACAAGAATAAATGCCACAACTGGGGCAAACCGGACCACATAAAGATGGACTACCTGAACCCAAAGAAGGAAGTGTATTCTGCAATTAAAAAGCCATTAGTTTTATGGCGAACCGCGACGAGTCAACAAAATCGGCTCTGGGGCGAGTCAACAATGAGTTGGTCAATGTAAACACGTTTTTCGAATCGACTGAAAGGCTGCCGACCCCGGTGGTGATCAATGTGGCGAAGGATGGTGAAAACATAGTAGTAGCAAATCAATGGCTAAAGTAACTCCAACGTGCTTCTGAAAGCGAGGAAAGTTCTCTACGTGCCGGATCTCCACGAAAACCTGTTGTCAGTAAAGAAAATGGCGGCCGTCGGTGTCGAAGTGCTGTTTCTCAAGAATAAAGCTGTACTGAAAAAGGATGGTGATGGCGCCAATGAAGGGGAACTTATACGAGCTCGATATTAAGGTATGTGATCCAGTCGCTATCGTTTGCCAGCTGGATTGCAACGAACTTTTACATCGCCACTTGGGGCATCTTGGCCAAGGTAGAATGGCCAAAATCGTTCAGCTGGCCACGGGTGTGGATTTCAAGCCTAGACAAGATCGGTTCTGCGATGCCTCTGCTCAAGGCATACAGTGTCAGGGTCTCGATTCGATGGAACACGTACCCGAGAAAAGCGACACGTACCCGAGAAAAGCGAGCGGATTCACTCGGACGTATGCGACCAAATCGACCCACCAGCCTGGGATGGATATCTGTTGTGTCATTTATCGACGACAAAACGCACTGAGATCGCAGTAGACTCTGCTCGAGAGTGGTTGATTTTCGATGCTTCGGTTAGAATTTTCCCTTAGGGGCGTTGAATTTAAGTAAAAGTTTCCAATAATGTCGTGTGCTACCACCATATTCTGTGTTCAGTAGTATATCAAGATAGAGCTGGAATTAGGGCGTGACAGCTTTTGTCAACAATGACTTCTTTCGATGATGTCTTGAAAGTCAAGGCTCGCCCACGCAAATCAACAATCACCATCAGGTAGGGTAAGACTTCCCCTACCCGACGGTAATATTGTTTTGCGTGGGCGTGCCTTGAATTCCTAGAAATCATCGAGAGAAGTCATTGTTTACAAAAGCGTTTACACCCTTATTCCAGCTATATCTAGATATACGCGAAAGTGTTTTCGAGAGTGTTTTTAAATAACCGGAAGAGGAGGATCCATTGTGTGCTAAGGAGGATATGTATGAGCAAGTGCAAGCGAAATCAGGCTTTCTACAGATCATTCCGGTGAATCACGAAATGAGATGCAAAGCGCAGAGAAAAATAACACTATGGAACCCATGGATTGGAGGATCAAATTGACATGGTGAGACCTGTCCAAATACTTTTTTACGATTTAATAAAAAAATGAACTAAAACGTGCCAGGATTTAAAAGAACATTTCGAAACTGGAAGTGAGTGTTTGTAATACTAATATTCATTTGATATAGGTAATGCATACATGCGGGAATTATTGTAAGTGAAAGTAACCTCGGAATGGGCGTGACTCTCCAGCCATTCTGAAATGGGTTGCTGGATCTGCAATAGAGCTATCACCTTCTAACTCCCGGACTAAAGCTGTCTTCAACTACCATAAATCTCGCGTCACTTTTTAAATAGACCAATGTAACATATCCACCATTTTGAGAAAATCGAAGTTGAAGTTCGACAGATTATTAATTTAACTGTTTAAAAACAATACATTTTGCAATACTATTTTTAATGAAGTCAGTGTATACTAATGTTGAAAATTCAGAAGAAACGGTAAAATCACAATTTTACTTCAACATAGAAAAAACCACATAGGACGTTTTGACAAGTCGAGTTGTACATCGGACATGTTACATTGGCGATTTTTTCTCAATGGCATAATCAATGAGTGTTACATTGGACGTTTTGTCTACATGATACTAGATTCCCTTTCACAGATTTCAGAGTAGAATTCCTAACTTTAGATTGGCCCCTCCTTTGGAAAATGAGCACCAATCATGTTAGGCAGTCCGAATGACCGAAATAACAATCATGTACCCATCATTTCAAACTGTACATTGGACAATTTTTGATCAATGATTATCTTAAATAAATGAAAGTAAATTTGCATGGATGTTTTTGTATCACATACAATGATAGAAGAGCAATAGTTTGTATCTAGGGGTAAGACAGCTTTTGATAATGAGTCATACTGGAGTAAATTTTGAGTAACTCTGAGTAACTCGAGTTGCTCAATATTCAATGCACGGTGACATAGCAACCTGTTTGTTTTGTTTGTATTCCACGATTGTCAAGTAAAGACGTTTGACGAGGAAAATCGACGTCCATGATTCAACAACATTACATACTGGTAAATCTGTGAATGCTTATTATTGGTTGACGATTATAATTGGATTTTCAAGTGAACATGGAGTTGTACCATAATTAAACGTCTTGATGCACATGGTAGGCATTCAATTGTGAACATTTTGGCAGATTGCATACCCACCAACAAGATTCAAAATGTTTCATTGCCCCATAAAAGTTTCGCTTCACGTGGCATCAAAGACTACGACTTTGTGATTCCAGAACTGTATTGCCCACGAATTAAAACCGAAGTTTTTGATGGTAGTACTTTTTGTATTCCTTCGCATTGCGTTTTACTCGCGACTGTGAGTTGTAATTTTCCCTGGGTTGATGGAAAGGTCATTGTCTAGTCACATATACAAATTTACTACTCTATCAGAACAATTAAAACTTGAATTCGCAACTCATTTTAACTTATATATATATATAAGATGCTGAAATTAACAATTGAAATAATACATCCTTGGCAACCCATCGTAAATCACGCCAAATAACGGGTTCGTTTCTCGAGATCATATCAGAAATATCTTTTTACGACTTTCAACTTTATTGTCCCACCATAGTAGAGACCACGAGTAAGTAAGAGTAAAAATTCACACTGAAAAGAAATACACACGGATTAATGAGTAGGGGAAAAGTTGGCTTCGGCAATATCTTAACCTATTATCGTCAGGGGGTAAACAAAGTCCTAGAGCACTCAAATTTGGCCAATAGTTGCTCTGAAACACAATGTATCCACATGCCAAAATTGAGCTCTCAAGGACGTTGTTTGCCCCCTGACGATAATA